TTTTCATCCTTAATAAATGAGTAATTATATAAAAAAGAAAACTTATTTGAGTGATGGAGAGATTATTAAATTAAAATGTGTGCATAATAAAAAAGGTGGAAGTAACATTACACAGAATGATAAATCTAAAACTCCAAATTATGATTTAAATTTAACAAAAACACAAATTAATGAAATTAATAATTCAAAAAGGATTACATTAAGTAAAACTCAGAATTACAGCTATTTGTTTAGCTTCAAAATATCCGGATTCTTACTCAACACATTTTGATCATGTGAATTTATGCATTAAAACATTTAAATATTTCTTCAATGAAATGCATATGCAACAGAAAAAAAAAGATGGCTATGAGGTCTAGAAATTTGAATATCTTATCAGTTTTAAAACAAATAAAAACGTTGTAAAGGAAACTGGTGAATAAGGAAATTATTTAATTAATAAAATAGTTTTATTGTTTAAAAAGGTTATCGGAAAAATAGGAATTAAGGACTGAAGCAGATGTAAAACAATCTTTACGATCATTTCTCTACCCATGATTTCATCCTTAATAAATGAGTAATTATATAAAAAGAAAACTTATTGAGTGATGGAGAGATATTAAATAACATGTGCTGCATATAAAAAAGGTGGAAGGAACATTACACAGAATGATAAATCTAAAAACTCCAAATATTGATTTAAATTTAACAAAACCACAATTAATGAAATTAATAATTCAAAAGGATTAAAATTTAAGTAAAACTCAGATTACAGCGATTTGTTTAGCTTCAAAATATTCAGGATGCTTGTACCTGTTCCTAAATATTGGTACAACGTCAGTAAGTAATGAAGGCCATGTTACAAATTCGTGAGAATATTTTCCGAAACCCCAAAAGCTACTGTAAACCAAAAGAATGTCTCCTAGACAAACGGATATATTAAAAACAGAAATTGATAAAATGCTTCAGCATAAAATAATTGAAATAGGAGATTCAGATTACACTTCTCCTATGATTTTAGTGGAAGGGAGTAGCAGGGAAGTAGCAGGGAGGGATCCAAGACCTTGTATCGACTATAGAAAATTGAATAAGTTGACTAAAACATAATTCTTTCCCTTGCCTAACATCGAACAACGAATAGAAACGGTAGCAGGCGCAAAATATATAATTCTTTCGGATTTAACAAAGGGATACTGGCAAATATCTTTAAAACCTAATGCCCAAAGATTAGCCACTTTTGTTACAAGTTTTGGCACATTTAGACCTCTACGGATGCCTTTCGGACTTCAAAAGGCACCATTTTCATTTAGTAAAATGATGGCCGAAATCATTCAGGGTTGTGAAAACTTTGCTGTTCCATATTTTTTGATGACGTGGCAATCTTTTCAAACACCTGGGCAGAACATCTAAGTCACCTGAAAGCCGTTTTGACCAAAATAAAGGACGCTGGTTTAACTATTAAACCTATAAAATGTAAATTTGCGAAAGATAGAGTAAAATATCTAGGACCTATTATAATTCATGTATAAGAATGCCAAGTGAAGTAAAAGTAAAAGCTATTCTTGATTTTCCAGTGCCAAACACAAAAAGCCAAGTCAGAGCATTTTTAGGATTATCGAGATATAATCATTACATTCCCATGTTCTCATCTGTAGCAGCACCTTTAACCGAAACTTTGAAAGGAAACGTAAAGAGAGGGAAAATAAATTGGACAGAAGCGTGCACAAAAGCATTTGAAGAGCTAAAGGAGAAACTGTCTCAAAGGCCTCTACTACATGCACCTGATTTCAATAAGGAGTTTATTTTGCAAACTGATGCTTCAAACTCTGGTATGGGTGTCATTTTAACTAAAGAAGAGGAACGATACAATGAACATCCAGTATTTATTCCTCAGTAAGAAGTTTACAGAAACTGAAAAGTACTCTACCACAGAAAAGGAATGCGCCGCCATAATATTTGCTGTAAAGAAACTTCAATGTTATTTAGACGGGCATACTAAATTCCTCATTATGACCGATCATAATCCCTTAGTTTAGCTCAAAAATAATGTGAGTCTAAATCCGCGACTTATGAGATGGGCACTAGTACTGCGACCCTATAATTACACGGTTGTTCATCGAAGTGGTAAAAACCATAAAAATGTAGACGTATTAAGTCGTACTCCTTGGACTGATTAAATAATATGTTTCTCTATATAGATAAAAAATATTTTGTTCTTTCCTCTCTTCTTCAGTGTATGTTATTATGCTATTTGTAGTATTTCAATTCTGTATTGTGCTGATATTGTTGTTTTGGAAAAACAAATTGTAAACTTTAATTTATATTTTTTTTATAAATTAAAGTTTATCTGGAAGGGGGAAAGTTTTTAATATTTTGTTATTTAACAAATAACTATATTTATTATTTAAGTGGCAACGCAATATTTGTATGATGTAACCGTTGCTCAGCAACGGAAGAAATTGCTTAAAATTAGTATTCTGAAGTTTGACCAGCTAGTAGATGTATGAAAATTTTGCCACTTAAGAATTGTATACAAATTATCTATCTCCGTAAACTAAAAATAAAATTTATGTTTTACTAAGAAGATTATCGGTTTTGTCAATTACTGCAAAATACATTACACTGCTTACCATTTCTACCTGATCACTGGCCATATTGGTTCCTCTAAACGTCAAGAATGCTGGCGTAGTGCTGATGTCACGAAAACAAACGACATAAGCATAAAGAGTTCCTCTTTAAAATGGTACCAAACGATCCTTCTATAAAAGGGTAGTTACATAAACCAAACACTTTTAAATTTATAAGTTATTTATTATGTCTCTTATCTTTTAGGCTACTATATAAATTTTTATCACTTGAGCTTTGTTTCCTTTCTGATACACTGTATGCACATGTACCTATGTAGACCACGTATGTATATAAATATTAATTTCAATGTTGCATGATGCTCCTTGAAATGTATAGAAACTGGATCCTAAATTGGAAAGGAATATTAGATTGAAATAAAATGTCTAGTTTTTACTTTAAAACTTCTGCGTTTTTTGCTGTACTTATAATTTTGAAAATATTAAGAAATTTATTTTTTAGAATTATTCCAATATATTTCACGATTACCGTGTGAAATTAATGAAAGTAAATGTTTGTAAATTTCATTTCAGAATTAATTTTATACAGATGTTGTTATAGACATATACAAATAAACCTTTTCTTGCAGTATTTTATGTGCTTAAAGTAGTAGGACAATGAAAATAACAAGTAGAGAATATATGTATCAAATGACATCATTAAGGAATGAAACATTTAGGATCTTTGGTGATGTTTCTTTATATTTCTGATTAAGCTGTAATCCATTTTTCCAATCGCCATTACCAAAAATGAGCTCCCATTCAGTTCTTTTTTTTTTCTTTTAGATTACGGATAGTAGGGTTCTTTATCAAACCTCACAACAGCAAACATTTTCATGAATGAAGAAAAATAGCTATTTCATAGGATAGATAGGTCTGGGGGATTTTCTTGTAATGATACTAAGTCAAAAAATACATTTACTAAATCATGTTATCGGGATGCAGGTTTTCAGTGCTTATTGCCTTTATCAAGAAATATTTTGGCAAATCATTTCTTTCTTGCTTTGTTTCAAACTTTCTGATAGATGATTTATGAGCGATTTACCAAATTTAAATTTCAGAGGCAATTTTAAAGAAAATAAATATCATTATGCGGATTATACCCAAACGATAATTTAAATTATGGGAAATTATAAATTCAGTTTAGAAGATAAGTGCTGCTTTCAAAGGGTAAAGTTCATACCGACCTCTAGGTAAATTGCAGAAAACGTGACCCATGTCACAAAGTATCTTAAATGTTTATATGATTCATATTATTTTAACGAATAGTTATTTTAATCTGTTAGCCTTTTCTGTCACTTTTTGTTTCCCTGCGTTTCCTCGGCAGGATGTAAATGAGTTAGGGTGAGCAAGAGTGCATTTAAACTGAAGTAGCAAAAGGTTCATCACAGCGATTTTTCGTTACTGAGTGCGCACGTTGTTATTTCCAAACTTTTGAAATCTGAATCTCGACTTTGCATCCTTCCCGCCGAAGTTTAATATCACGCCGGTGTATGTTTTTGAGTCAACCTTTAAATTCAGTTTGTTATCATTATCTTTAAGTTCCTCACTACAAGTAGATGATAAAATTGTAAGCATGTTAGACAGTGCCCTCTTTAAATTATCAAGCTTGAAGAAAGGGTCCTGTACACACTTCCCTTGTTATATTCATCTTCTAGTCTTAGCGAGAAGTCGCTAAACAGATTTTCAAGTAGGTGCAGAAGCAGTTTATGCTAGCAAAGAAGACTAGACTATACACTGGCGCCCGAATTAAAATCCGAACCAATGGCCCAGGATACGCCCACCTTCGCTCTGGCCCTACCAACATCGTAGACCCCACTGGTTCTAGTAAACCCTATGCAAGGGTTTGATTTCCTGAGATACAATGCGGACCTCCACGAAGCCCGTAATAACATTTGATAGTAGAACATCGATCAGACTAGATCTTACATTGGCACCCGAAATAAAGCCAAAACAATGGTACAAGATTCCCAGTTCTCGCTGGCCTCACCGACGTCGCAAAGGCGAACAATTAATTAAAAATATATCTTTTCTATCAACCCATCATTCCATTCTAGGTGTTAATTTTCCAAAATTACTGTAACAGTTAAAAATGATATTTTTTTATTATTCTTAAATGTAGTTATGTAACTAAAATGCATACTTCATGAAACGCTCAAATTTTTGAATCTGCATTTTGTATTGCATATGTATTCAATTTTAGAGAAACATATTCTCTTAATAGTACAACTAGTTGATATAATTACTTACAGTAAATCTAATTGATATTTAATTCCATTTTATACCATGCGTATATTTCATCAACAGTCATTTCTAACGCCATATATTATGTAGTTGGCTACAGAATGTTATGTTTGATTTCAAATAAAGTTTTCTTGTTAAAAAAAGACACACAGGTTTTATAATAAGCATTTCAACTTTAATTGTACATAAAACAACATTCCCACCGGGAAAAGAGTCACATAAATAAAATTTTCAATGAAACTTAATCAATTTTACAATATGTCAGTCACAGCTTCTTCATACACTGAAGAATATTGATCATGGACATATTCATTTATGCAATAGATTAGGTTCCATAAAACCACGTTGTACATCCAGTCCCTGAAATTACGTTTTCAGCAGATACAGTCTAAGGTCTTGATATGTAAGACCTTATTTCTTTAATAGAAATAACAAGCAAGCAATAATCTCTGTGTGTTTATCTTTACTTATTAATGTGTTAAGAAGAAAAACAGAAAGATAAATATACTTTCTAAAATGATACTAGTACAAGAACTAGCATAAATAGCAAATTTAATATTTTTAACTTTTAATGCCCATAGAAAATGTAGATTAAAATGGTACCAAATTTTAAGAATGAAATTTAAACTAAAATAATTTAATTGAATAAATTAGCTCGTCTCCATACTACTATTAATTAAATTTTCAGGTAAAAAACATCTCAATATATTTTTTAGACTGATTGCAATTTAATCAAGCTGGTCAGAAACACAATTTGAACTAATATATGAGAATACGAAAGATCAGATATCATATATCAGATAAATAATTCAAATTTTATTTTAGAAAAATTATGTTCTTTGCATCATGGGCGTTAAAAATATTTCATTTCAAAGCTTGGAATATTGTTGTAATTAAAAACAAAATTAGTCAACTAAAACGAAGACCCGGGGAAAAACCATTCATGTTAAATATTTTTGTAAAAATTGAAGTCAAGGAATTGCTTCTACATTATGAATCGCTTCCGAATAAAAAGTATCCAGCTCCTTAATTCAACAGAAGAAAGATTTTTCGCGCTGAAGAAAAGCAATATTTGCTCATGGGCCACGAAGAAGCACTTATGTCCAACTTGCTTCATCAGGCTTATTCTTGTGTCTTGTAACAATGACCTATTGCTATCGTCCATTATATCTTCAGTAGTGTGAGCATGGGCAAGTGAAGGTTCTAATGCAGACTTTCGATTCAATGGCCGAGTTTAGGAAGAAAATAGTGAGAATCTGTGATGTTATAAACGTTTTAAGGGCAACCACGCACGAGCTAGGACATGGTTGTAAGTGCAAACGTTCTCAATGTATTTCTTTGATTTATGATAATGAAGCACAACATACTCTTAAAGCATTTAAATGCACCTGGGTATATTATTGCAGAGAAGCAATATCTCGGCGGGCTTATAAAGCTTTTGCCTGTGATGCGCCGACATCGATGTTTGGGAGTCGCACAAAGTGTTACTCTTATCGAGCAAGTTGCTTGTATGTCAGGCGTTGAATTGGTGCGAAGTTTGTATAAATGTCTTCATTGACACTTCGTTTCGCAGCATTACAAAACACTGGGTTCAAAAATCAGAGAAACTTTAGTCATTGACAAAAATGCACCGGTAAACCGCAGACGAAAACACACAAACCGTGAGCATGCAAGTCTTGAGGACATTATTCCTAAAGTAACTGAGTTTATTAACTTACTCAAATAGAAAAAGTCCATTATTCCTTAAAAATGTGTAAGAAAACCGAAGAAGCTGTAAAATGGAAGACTTCTAATAAAAGAATCAAAGACATACAGCATTTGAAATGATATGCAAGATTTTATCGTTGTGCAGTCATTCTTCATAAAAATGATAATAATTTTTTTAAATGTCCATGGGTTCCTCAACCACCCTGTGTCTAAAACGTTTTATGAAAAACTACTTGGACAGAAGATGTTGCTAATGGTAATGATTATGACAGAACACGTGTTCCCAAGATTAACAGAAGATACTGGGAAGAAGGATTTTAGTCACCTAAAAAAATTTAAAACTTATTTCTCTACGAATTGTTTTTCTGATTTTATAACAGCACTTTTTATCACTGGGATTCCAGAAATAAAAAACTCATTTTCTCCAATTTCACGTTAATGCGCATAAATAGTTCTTCCTCAGGGTCTTCAAATGCAATATTTATTGAAATTCAAAAGAAGCATTTCAAATTAGTGCGGTTAAAACCAAGCACTGATTATGAAACCTAATTCACATAAAAACGTTTCCAGCTTCTTTTATGTGAATTCCAGACTTGTTTGATTTCGATTAAACATTACAGTTCCCAAAACGAAATCATTATTTTCTAACATTAAGCTACAATACATTTAAACAAGTTTTAACAGGTTTTTGGTCCAAAGTTTGTGTATGAATGACAAAATTTGAATATTTGTACTTCATCGATCCAGAGAACAAATATTATCTAAAGGTACATTCTAAAAGCAAACATATACTTGGAATAGCCAGAGCTATGGATCGAATACAGGTCAATTTACACAAAGTAATATACGCCTTTGCTGGGTATAACCACTTCGATTTCTGACTATATAGTTCAAAATAATGATATTTATCACTTATTATTCTTCACTTAGGCTTATTCTTTAAAAGAAACTCCATTATTATTTTGAGATTCTTACGTTATGGCAATATCTATTTCTGACTGAATCTCTCTTCGCGCCGGAACATCATTATTTATGCACATTATACCTGTGAACTTTCATTGCTTTTTTTTTTTTTTTTTTTTTTTGAATCGTACAAGGAATGGAAGCCCGACTGCTTCACTTCGAAAACTAACATCATTGATATTAATCTGTACACAATTTAATTCAAATCGATTTTATTATAAAGTTCTTCAATTTTAATCTAGATTCATTTATGATTTGATAATCGTATTTGGGAGGAAGCCTGCTAATAAATTTGATGTGTCTTTCGTTATTAAGCAAAGAATTATTTGAAGCCCAAATTTAACAGTCACTTGTTTTGATATTTCGATCATAATTTTTTTCTAAAAATAATTTAATTGTTGTAAAATTCAGGCTACGTGAATACGTTAATTTTTCAGTCAAAAAGAATTTTTCTTTCTTCAACACTTATGAAGCATTCCTTTTAAGACATATTATTTACAAAAGCTAGAAAAATTTTAGCATAGCTCAAAGAATTCGAAATTGTTAATGGAGGAATAGTAGATATTTGTTGGAAGGTTAGTATTAAGGAAATAAAGCATATACATCTTCTGACAGCACTCGAATATATTTGAAAATGGCAAATAGATACACAAAAAATATCAAAATAAAGATGGAAGTTTTTTTTTTATTGGAAGAATATTTATATATCATTAGAGAATAAAATCTAAGAACTTAGGTAACTTTTAATAACCTTCAGACTTTCCTCATTCCAAGTGAAGAATGCTTCATACAGTGATAAATAACATAATTATTCACATATGTCAAAATATGTAAGGTCTGTTATAAGTATTCCAGTCATTTGATAATACGCGGCACATCCAAGAACATGGATTGATTTTCCAAAGCCCTTTTTCTCTGTCTGGCTTATGTAATCATAGGAGCCGATCTGTCATTGGTGACAACTTTTTTCAGTTTCACACTCGCAAATATATTATCCCTGAAAAACAAAAACAAATCATAAGTTTATATAAATTTAAGAATTGCTCTGTATAACTGAAAGTACAAGGTATATAAATATTATAAATGTCCAAATAATTAAAAGCAGTTAATTTACGCATAAACTGAACCAATCTAGATATGCTAGTATGATCTCGAAACGGGTGAACAGCCTATAAGCAAGAACAGGGTAACGATATGCATAAAGAACTGGGGTATTAACTTTGTGAAAGGGACATTGATACAGCATAATTTCACAGAGCTGAACTATTACCTCGGACTTATTAATGATGAGAAAATTTCATAAATTTAGTATTAACATTGTGACAGATATGTATAGTTAACTTACAAAAAATAAAAACACTCCCATTTCCGAAACTTGCAGCTGTTAAAGCATGAATTAGTTGCGTTATTTGCATATTTTTTATCGCGTGCATAATTACGTTCTTATAATTACATGTAATATTATTGGTGGCTTAATAGTTCTCAAATTTCAGAGTTTACGTATCAAACAACAATAGTGTTCAGTTAATAGTTTTTGAAGAGTTCGAGAAAGTCATAAAGTTTTCTTAAAATATACATCCATTTTTTATGGTTTATAAAAGTAATAAAACTGAATAAATACGTTAAATAAAAAAATCTTCATTCAATCGTTTTAAAAACGTACCTCAACGGAATGTTTTGAGCTTGTATGTGACATATGCAATAATACTCTAGAAAAAAGTTACAAAGCATCAAGGAATATTTTTACTCCAAAGTGGTAGAATAGATGGCACTAGTTCTCCAGCAGCACATAGATGGCACTAGTTCTCCAGCAGCGGTTGTGGGGGGTAAGTAGAGCAAGCTCGCAGACGCGTAAGAGCGATTGAAGTGACAAGGCATTTAGAAACGTGGTCTGGCCTGGAGGTGCGAGCCATGATTCTCTATCCTGATCGAGTATCTGAAGCGTGGCCATATCGTTACTGCCAATAGATATTGTGCCACTTTGACAAGATTACGTAAGGCCATCCAACGCAAATGCCTTGGCATGTTGAGGGATGTTGTCCTCCATCATGACAAAGCCCGGCTCCATGCTGCCTTGCCAAACTCAAGAAATGCAGCAAAAATTCAAGTGGGAAATCTGGAGTCACCCGCTCCGCCCCTCCACACAGCCCAGATTTAGCACATAATGACTATTTTCTTTTACCGAAATTGAAGGAAAATTCATCTGAAATGTATTTATCTTCAGACTGTCAAGTGAAAACAGCTGCCAAGAACTGGTTCAATGGACAGCGACGTGATTTCTGTCAAGTTAAAAATGTTGGTCTTGCATTCAGATAAATGCCTAATAGATTATGTGGGTGATATGTGGGAAAATGATAATTAAGTACGCCTCTTAATTCCCTTTTGCATTTTCTCCCTGTTGTTAATAAATATTTTTATTACCCATGTATCTTTTTTTCCTGGATCCATTCTCGTACTTTTAGATTAAAATCAAAATGCGTTTAGAGAATATACTTCTCAAGATCATAAATAAAACATTTTTATTTCGAAAGTGTATTCTTAAATCAATATTGTTTCATAAACATAATTCACTTGAATGATATATTTTATTATAAATGAAGCAGAATTTTTATCTCAAAGTTTATTAAAGACGTCATTCAAAGCCAGTAATTTATATTTAGAACTTAAACGTGTCACTATTTTTTTTAACAATTACACTGTAAACAAATTTCAGTTCAATGTTACACCATTTAATGGTTCAAAGTAAGAGGTAGCACCAAAACATAGTTCACTTGAATTTTTCTTCGCCATCTTCTATCCTATTCTTCTGGAAGCTCCCTTCTATGGGATACGAAGTTCTGACAGCCGGAACCTTCCATACGTGAACTTTCTGACAGCATGAAATTTTCATGCTAATCTTGGCATACAGCGGAAATTGGAATTAGTTGATAATATTCAGGCCTTGATTAGATAATTAACTTTTTGTAATCGTTTGCGAGGTTGAGAGCTTGCCAACCAAAGATGTGCATCTCAGTGTTTGTCATCAAGAGTCTGAGCTCGAATTAACACGCGAACGCCAAGTTTTCGGTTTTATCCGTTTCGTGCACTCTTTGTGAGGTTTTCACTAAATTGATTGTGCAACTTTTTGGTCCCGTTCATTCGCTCTCCCAACACTGTTTAAATTCAGGTTGGAATTCTAGTATTCCTCTTTTCTGCCTCTCAAAGTGGAATGCGACCCTATGGTAATTATTATTCATCTGGATGAGTACTATCACCCCTCTTAATTTGTAAAAGCAATTTAAAATCACTCTGTATGTATAAAATATACAGAATCATTTGTCAGGTTATATGAGTAGTTTCATGTTGAATTAAATTTTTTTTCTTAAATAATTAATTCTCTTATGTAGCAGTTGCACCAAAATTTATCTATGTTGATTTAAATATATTCTGCATTAAGGCTTTGTGATTTAATTTTAAGCCTATGTTTTTTCTCTAACTTATTTTATATAAAATGCTTACATTTCTACAAAGCATGTTACCAAGGGTATGTTTAATCTGCAGAAAAATGGAGTTTGCTCTTGAATTCATTGAACAATATGAATAGCTTTGGAAAATTTTCTTTATTGTGTTAGGTACATAGATGTTGTAATTTATCATGCTTTATAATATATTTTAACAAAAAGTAAATAAAAATTACCATAAATGAAAATTCAAAACATCTTTATGGTTTAGATGCTTGTGATGAAAACACTTAAAGTAAAATTTTGTGTGTGTGTGGGGGAAGGGACAAGGGAAACTTTAGAGATTCTGTCAAACACTTCTACAAAGTCTCCAAATTTTAAACTTAAGTGTCATGGAGTGTGAATGAAAATAAGAACTATACATGGAATAATTTTTTTATATAATATAATAGTAATCATCTAAATATCTGTTAATTATACGTTAGACACAATGTATAATTTCAATTTAATTATGAGAAAGTAATTTCTGTTGTGAGTTCAAATACTGGAGATCTTGAATCTGAAATCTATGTATGTTTGTAAAATAGCAGATCAGTATGAGTTAAAAGCTGTGATTTGTTGTAATCTTTTAAGATTGCTGTGAAGAAAAACTGTAATAAATTACTAGAATTCTGTTATGTGATAATATTAAACAAGAAAGCTGCTAATTTACAGACTTTTCACATGAAGATTTAAAAAACAACAAGAAACTTGTATGAAAATTATTTCAGAACGCTTCATCAGAATATTAAATCTGCTTTTCTGTGGTATGGAAGGTATGTTTAGTGGAGTTAAACAACAAAGGTAATAATAATAAATTTAATTTACAAGTGAAGGTATATCAAACATGAACTTTTATTAAAATTCAGCTCTTGCAGTGAGCGGTTATGTATTAGCTTATTTCTATTGGTGTGTATTTTGTAAAAATATATTTTTAAATACATGCTAATATATTGCAAGTATGTATTTTAATGATACATATTTTATACTTTCGTTCTCTCAAAACTGAATCATAATCTCATAAATGCTAGCCAGATTGCTATGCTAGCCAAATTGTAAATAATTATTGTTATAGGAATGCTGATTTGCATAAGCAATTTCCATATTGCTTACTCACAGAAATAATGAATAAAAAAAAATCAGGAGAAGGGAGCCATAGCAGTAATCAAATAAAAAAATACCATAAAATTTTACGCCTGAGCTCTCAAATAACTTCCTATAATTTACAGTTAATGGATCAAAATAATTAGAGTTAATGGTAAACATAATTATAGTTAACGGTTTAAGGTATTCTCAATTCATGTTGTAATATAGTCCATTTAACGTATTCCTAATTTATGATTCAACATTCCCCATTCTTGGTTCAACCTGTTACCAAATAATGGTTCAGCTAAAGCAAAAATTAAAGGTTCAACCTATTAACAAATAATGGTTTAGCCAAAGCACCAAATAATGGTTTCAATGTTTCACCATCTTTGGGTTTCAACTTTTTCAATACTATAATTTGGTGAAACCTTATAGAGTCATTAGGATTTTTTTAGAGGCCAGCAAGATGAAAAATTATCAAATGCCTTCGCCGGGAATCGAACCACGGACCTCTGAAATACCGGCTCAGTGTGCAGAACCACTACACCACGAAGGACGCTAGGAAAGTGGGAGAAATACCTTACATACTCCCCTTTTTAAAGGGCGACTAAGGTTTTAGGGGACCTAGTCGCCAAATCCTGGGTGCGGAGAATCATCTTCCACAACCCTTTTAGTTCGGGCGCCACTTGTAGAGTCATTAGGATTTTTTTAGAGGCCAGCAAGATGAAAAATTAGCAAACGCCTTCGCCGGGAATCGAACCACGGACCTCTGAAATACCGGCTCAGTGTGCAGAACCACTACACCACGAAGGACGCTAGGAAAGTGGGAGAAATACCTTATAACCTTTAGCCAAATTTTTAACACTGTACTGCATCAGATTCCTTAGATTATTAATAAAAGTAGATAAAATATCATCAAGATATCATATCATTGTAAATAATAAACGAACTTCTTAATCTTGAATGAAAAAAAGCCCAAAAAATCTTTAAAAAAATACCTCTCTTATAATAAATAATAATATTCCTAATATTAATCCAATAATTCAGCTTAATAATTCAGCTTAGTTTTAACAATGCACTGTAAACCAGTGAGCATATTTAAGCTACATTTTCAGTTACTATACTCGAATTCAATTTCATATTTTAACCAACACTGAAACAAATTTTATCAACGCATTTAATAATATCTAGATAAGAATTCGAATTTGTCCATGCATATTATTCTACTTTGATTACTCCATTTTAATAATAGACTTGTATTAAACGTTTCGTAAATGCATTTTAATAGCTCACAATTTTCCTTCAAAGAAATTTATAACATTCTTGCTTTTCCAGGAACTGCAAATGTTGCTATAATTTCCGTTGCGTATATTTTATTTAAATTGCTATATGTAAATTGTTGGAAGCATAGGAAAAACATTTTACTAGATTT